GCATTGTATGAGTAATTGACGTAAGTGTGATGGCCCCGATTGAGTGGCACAGAGATGAGCGAAGATAGATGCATTCTCTTTACGCTGAAGAGCTCGAAAGAGAAGACTATCATCATTGAACTGATCAATCCAAGGTTCACGAGCACTTGTAGTTTCCAAAATGATACAACCATAACTCCAGACATCCGACGAAAACGATGATGGCTCTGGTGGTGGACTACAAAGTTCAGGTGCCATCCATCGAATGGTTCCTAGAACATAAATCGAATACTAGAAACAAATATAAAATGTGTGCTTCACTAGATTTACCTTTAGTCGTATTGGTACGTTTCTTTTCTTGATTATCATTGTCTAAACATCGGGCAATACCAAAATCACAGATAATTGCTTGATGTGTACCTTCTCTCAAGAGAATATTGTGACTTTTCAAATCACCTTGAACAATACGATGATCATGAAGATATATCATTCCTCGAGCGATATCATGCAAGATTTGCTCGATAGTTGACCAATAAGAAGTCGATGTAAATTTTGTTTGAATGAATTCATAGAGATTACCACCTGTAATAAACTCCATAACCAAATAAGCCGTTCCTTGTTCATATTCCAGATCATAATATTTAATAATATTGCTATGATCTAAAATCTTTATTAGTTTCACTTCGTTCTCTGCACGGCGGGCATATTGATTGTTGAGGACTTTAATGGCTGCACGAGTACGACGCCATATTCCAGAGTAGACTGTTCCTTCCGAACCATAGTTCAGTACAGATTCTAATTGACAGTTTTTTACCATGTGTTGTTCGTTGTGTCTAGTAGATGTGATATGAGACGATGATTCTTCTCAACAACATCACTTCTGCAAAATACCCAGAGAAAATACTAAAGAATTGTTTTTTTTCTCATTCTGTGTCAATGTCGTCATCATCAATCCAAAAAAAATGCTGCAGAAGAAACAAAAAATATTTATTCTACGGAGAAAAAAAAGTCTATTCTTTTGCTTCTGACGCATAGATAAATAAAAAAGTGGGTTTTTTCGCCATTCTCTTATTCTTATATATACTCCGAATAGTGAGAAGTTCGTGCACTCAGTCTCGTCAAATTCAACAACTCCAACATGGTGAGTAGTAGAAAATGTTTTTCAATTGTGAAAATTGTTTTAGATATTGCTTTGTCTTTTTCTAGATCTCTTCACAAAATGAAACGCGTATTGTTCTAATCGGACGAACAGGGAATGGTTAGTATTCAAATGATCTGATTTCTTTTTCTTACGATTAAAGAAATTCTTTTCTCTTTAGGAAAAAGTTCTACGGGCAACTCATTGTTACATTCTCGAAGCGCTTTTCATGCGACACAATCAGGTCGATCAATCACGAGAGATTGTCAAGTTGCAAGATATCAATATACAGATACTTGCGGTCAGGGGTGGCGCGACCGGGGGGTAGCCGGGGGTGCGACACCCCCCCAATCTTCAAAAATTTCTGTTTTTTTGCTCAACAAAATCAGGAAATTTTCTTCCATTTGTCACCAAAAACAACGTTACACCCCCCGAAAACTTGCAGACTTCGTCTTTCTAGTCCAAAAAATTTCGCTACACCCCCCCAATGTTGGTTGACTCGCGCCACCCCTGCTTGCGGTCAACGGAAAGCGCTTACTGGAGTGGATACGCCCGGATTTTTCGATACTGATACAAGCATTACGAATGAAATAGTCGAACGAAAAATTGCATCACAAATCTTTGAGATGACTGCACCAGGTGTTCATGCCTTTTTAATCGTCATCCGAATAGGTCGATTTACACCAGAAGAAAAAAATACGGTCGATTTTATTCGACATATATTTGGTCCAGATGCTGTTCGATATTGTATTGTCGTCTTTACTGCTGAGGATCAATTAGACGAAGGTCAATCTCTAGAAGATTTTATTAATACAGCACCAGCATTACGAGAACTGGTTCGAGCTTGTGGTAATAGAACATTTGCTATCAATAATAAATTAAATGGTGACCCGTTAGCAAAAAAAACAAATCGATTAATTGAAATCATTGATAATATGATCAGAAATA